AATCAGAGGCTGGGGGTTTCTCCTTCCTTTATGGGGAGGGCGGGATATAAATCCAAATAAATAAAATGATAACCAGTGCTTCTGTCCTGCAAAGTACAACCTGATTAGGGACACAGAGGCAGAGGCAAAAGACTTCCTTTATGGAACTGGAACAAACACACACAATCTGCAGAAATGCATGTGAGATCAGTTACTATGAAAGATCAACTCTGTATTGAATCAGGAATGGACTCAGGTTCCAAGATCTTTTTTATATCTATGTTATACTTGAAAGCACTGCAGGTATATATGTAATATATGTAAAGATGGACCCCCTTCCTAGATGTGTGCTGTGCCCCAACTCCATCTTGGTTAAGTTCACTTTGGCAGCCATTTTAGGAGCTAGCCATGCCTTGCTTTGGAGAAGGTGAGTTCAAGGCTCTCCTTAGTGTTGTAAAATAGTCAAAAGTGTTTAATACTCAGACTATCAATGGATCTTGCTCTATTGGAAAGAAGAGGTTTCTTTGCTTTTAAAAACCTTTATTTCTAAGGGTAAAAGGTACACGGGATTACTACAAATTAATATAACACTAACAGCTACATTTTCTAAGCTGCCTATAGTCAAACCTAGCACACAGATAATGGAGAATTTCTCCTTCTTCTTGACCCCTAGAAAGGAAGTCACCTGAAACAAACGACCAATCTGTATCACAGTAGAAAGCTACTTTTCCCGGGCTAATTCCCCATTGGCTCAGTGCCAGGTATCCCTTCCAGGTTGGTCTAAACAATAGCAACACTAGGCAAACAAGTTAACCCTATAATGACTGAATTGTCAGAACGCAACCTTATGGTTCCCTCTACATATGAAACACTCAATTTTCCTTTTAAATCTGTGCCCATGTTTCAAACTCAGTACAGACATTTCATTAGACAATACATCATCACTGCTTCTTGGTGGGGAGTGGCGAGATATCTGCATGCCTACCCATTGCCACAGGGGCTTCCAAAGCAAGACACTTACCTAGGTCTATCAATGTAATTTCATCAGCAACAGCAAGTCATCCTGAGTTCAAAATCTAATTACTGTCAAGAAGCCAGGTGGGCTTGATTATTTTCCACTGACCTTGCCTGCATGTCTCCTACCAGCCTGCCTCAGGCATGGAAGAAGCCTCGACCCTGCCAGCCCTGTTGTCCACCTGGCTTGCATGCAATCACGTTTTTCTCAGAAGACCTCCCCAACCCAGTCAGAGCCAGGAAATCTATAGATTCTCATCCTGGGCTTACACTGAATTCCTGGACTTTACAATTATTTCTTTGATATTCTTTTGTACCAGATTCTATAACTATTGCTGATCTGCAGCCAAAATTGTGCCGCCTCATCCCTCTCCCTTTCTTTCTTTTGGACCCTGGAACATTTCCTTGCCACAAAGGAGCATCTCTTTGATGCCTTTTCTTATTATTATTTCCTTGGGACCCTTGGAAGCTCTCCCTAAAGTCCCTAACTCTGGATAACTGAAAGAGACAACGTACTCTATCCAGCTCGGAAGACTGAGGATAGGTAAACTGCTTCTCTCTGTTAATTCCTTTTCTCTTAAAAACTCTCCTGTCCTTTAAACCCCCCTTCCTCCCACTCTTCCTTGTGGCTCTTCCCTGACCCTGACACAGAATTCTCATTCAGCAAGAGGTTCAGCAATCTTTCACTTTTTCTTTCTCTCCTCTCATATAATTCTTCATACACACATCCTTCTGAAAACAACCATTTCACTTTTTATCCTTGTCTTTTCGGTTCCTGTACCCCTATATTTCCCCCCAATAAATTCTAAACCTTGTTTTGGAAAATATTTGGTTGTTTCGTGGTTACTGGTAGCAAACTAGAGGTACTTTGAGCTTGCTTGAACACTAGCCAGGCAAAGATCACATGTTCTTCTTCCCCTAATTGGCAACTGTGTCAGTTCTCCAAGCTAGGGAGGCCCCCCCCCAATACTGATCTTAATTCCCCCAAACTGGTTACAGTTCTGGATGAGAGTCCCAAACTCGTTAGAGAGTCCACATGTGTCTAAGGATACATGTAAAAGGGAGAGCATGTGGTAAGAACAGGGCCTAATATGCACTAGTCTATCCATTCACATACAGAGTAGAAGATGGTCTAGTTTTAAATAAAGTGCAATAGATGAATGAGGACAGCTAGTACTGCTTTCCTCTCCACCTTACCTTACAATGCTCCACTGAATCATACTGCTTCTTGGCCTGGCTCCAGTAATTAGAAGTCTGCTGTGTGAGGAGAAAAATGATAGAAGACATGTAGTGCAGCAAGGTGAAGTGCAAGAAGGGAAAGAAGGGAGCACATCATCCCTGTGTTCAATTTTTGAGCCCCTGTGTTCAATTTTTGTAAAAAAGAAAAACAAGCCCAGACCCAAAGAATTTCTTCTCAGTGGGGGAGAGGAGTTATATCTAGAATTCTTTCCCATTGAATCCAATACAAAGATCATATTGATTTTTCTAGCTTGAATTCCGATATTAAAGAATCCACTAGATTTATTGGGTGTCTTTCAAAATGTCATCGATATATGCACATTTCTACTGATCTCATTTTTAATATCTTGAATGCACTGTAATTGTTTTTCACATATGAGTGCGACACAAGTCTAGGTTGAAGTAAGTACTTTGTGACTTAATTGGTTTGAAAGAAGTATGAAATTCAAAAAAGGACTAAATTGTATACTTTTGTTTCTCAAACACTTACTAATTCCTATTAATTTTATCTAATTGCTTGTGTATTTTTAGCAATTGTATGGACATTTCTGTACATCTCCTGGTTGTAGTCATTTTTCAGGCTGGTTCCTTAACTTCATGGGCAGCAGTGATGGAATTAATTACTGTTTAGAGCTATAACTTCAAAACCAATAATGTTCTTTAAGATGTGTTTTACACCAGCATTCCAGATGTTGAGCTTCTTTTTAATTAACTCATCTACCTTTAGCTTTTATCAGTTGCAGACTGTCTAGAGATAGTGTCTTACATTACCAATTTTTTATCATTCATCTCTCTTTCCATCACACAAGTATTCTATCCCTCTCTCTGTGTCTTGTACAAACATACATAACAGGATGTGATTCACAAACCAATTACATTGTCTGCAACTTATATTTAAGCCTTTTAACAGCAGAATCTTATTGACTGCAATCCAGAGAAGCTTCAGGTAGATCTGAGTATTTTCCTTGCCATATGTGTTACACAGCAAGACCTTTTTTTGAACTTCTCCAAATGTCAAAAGCAACTTATTGAGGTCATGGGGGGGGGAAATAAAAGAACCTTACTCATAAATGGATTGCTTGCATTAATTGTCCCATGGGGATCCCACTTCTAGCTATGGGAAGGATAACTCCAGAATTTGTATGTGACTCTTACCTGTCTCATGGGGGGGGGGGGGTTAGTTAACTGCGTCCATTAATGGTTTCTGCTGGATCATGAACATTATGCCGAAGCAAGTCCCAACAATTTCAGTGATCCTTATATCCAGACAAATGTAGTTTAGGATGCAGACCATTTCCTACTGAAATCAGGTAACTAAATGGGATTGACATATTCCTTCCTTAAGTGACTGGCAGTGACCTTCAGCATTTTAAAGACTGTTACCCCACCACCACCAAGACTGGCATAACTAAATGGCTCATGTACCATGCAATAAAGGTAAAGGTTTCCCTTGCTCAAAAGCCAGTCGAATTCGACTCTAGGGTTGCGGTGCTCATCTCTGTTTCCAAGCCGAAGAGCCAGCGCTGTCCAAAGACATTTCCATGGTCATGTGGCTGGCAGGACTAGATGCCAAGGTGCACGGAACGCTGTTAGCTTCCCACTGAAGCAGTACATATTTATCTACTTGCAATTTTTTGCTTTCAAACTGCTAGGTTAGCAGGAACTGGAACCAAAGACGGGAGCTCACTCCATCATGCGGCACCCGGGTCTCGAACTGCTGAACTACTGACCTTCCAGCCTGCAGTTCAGCATCTTAACCACCTAAAGCTGTTATTACAATTGTCATACATCTAAGTCTTCTGTCTGATTTTGCTGGTATTACTTATGGGTCTAAGGAAGACAATTTCCAGGAAAGCCCCAGTGCTACCCTGTCAAAGACCACAGGAGCATTCATCAAAGAATAAAGAACAAGCCAACTGCACATATAGCAATTTTAATCCATTCCATTTTTAAATACCACAATAAATTTAATTTTCACAATAAATTAAATAGCCATATTCAGTTTACAAAATAGAATTACTTAGTGTGAAACCAGTATTTACAAACAATATACATTATATACAGCAGGTTTCTCTTTGTCAACATACAAGCATAGAAGGAAAAAAAGACTTTCTTTTTGACATATGATTGACATGCTACAAGTGCCAAGATGATCCATACAATAAAAACAATAGTGCAAACTCACCACAGGAAATTTGAAACAATGTTGATTGCATGAGAGAATTTCTTTTCAAGAAATAGGAAAAGAATTCCAATAGAACAACTCAGCATCATACTTAGGATAAATCTACACTGCTAACTTATATTGGCTTTATAGCATTTTAATTGTCACCATGTTCCCAAAGAATCCTAGGATGGTGACTGCATTCAAAATTCTCTGAGTCCAGTTCCAAACATTCCCTAGGAGGAAGGAAAAACCTGTATGAGTCTGAAGTATAGATTTATGCTTTTAAAGGGTCAATATTCTTCTATCACTGTGTCTCCATAATAGCCTAAGCCAATTTTTGCAGTGAATTCTAAACTTATATTCTGCCTTCTCTCTAAATATATTTGGTAACACCGTTTTACAGAGCAGAGTACTGACCCTTTGAGCTGAATAGCTGAGTTAGTTTCTTTAAATGACATCTCCTTTAATTGTATAGCATAAAATGATGCAATTATGCACAGAGTAAATTTTATGTTATTCAATGCTCTGCAGAAAAATTGATCCCACCTTATATTTGGTCACACATTGCGTATGTACAAGAATGCATGAAAAAGGGGTTACTTTGATAGCTGTGTATATGAAAAGTGCATATTTTTACTCTAGTAGAGACACGGTTGCATATCTCTGGGTGCAACACACAGTGTTGTATGAAATTTACTTTAGGGCCAGTTAAATGTCCTCCCTGTGATCTGGTAAAATTTCTGATTAAAAGGGTGAAAGAACTTGCGCAATTTGGTAATGACAGAGGAATCCACCTCTGGATGGATGCGTCCCTTGCTTCCCGCCAGGCACTTGTTAAAGACAATGTTAAATCGCAAGCAGTAAAACCCTCTGGTGGCATTGAAATATAAATTATATTGACTTATCCTTGGAGGAAGATTTAAGAACTTCTCTACCAGCTGGAGTTCTGGCAGTGGTTCTGTAATGAGACGATCACCATCAACAATATGAAACTGCTCAATGGGAAAATATTTTAACCACCTCTCCAGATGTTTTGTGTAGATGCTGGTTCTTACTGCCTTGTATTTAGTGTTGACTTCACAGGTATTTGAATCAATAGCCAGCTTCTCAAATTTGTAGTACGTTTTATTCTTCCGTTCCTTCCCCTCCAGCACCTGAGTGTAATCAGAAATAGCTCTTGTTGTGGGTTCCCTGACAATGATCAGTAATTTGATGGATGAGTTCATTTTATATATCCTTTCAGGTACCTCCTCTGTGATAAAGTATGCAGGACTTTTCTCAATTGTTATTTGATGAGGGTAAGAAAATGGCATTTTTTTCCTGTACCATTCAATGCCCTTCGCATAGTTCTCATCATTATCAAAGAAGTGGATTTCTTGAGAAGCTTTGACCACTGCTGGGTGGAGATTAAGCATTTCCAGTAGAGCTCGTGTGCCTCCTTTCCTCACCCCAATGATTATGGCCTTTGGGATCTGTTGGACCAGACTGTGAAGTCGAATTTGCTCCTTGCTGGCATTGCCCTTCCGAAACTCATGTAGCAAACCACGTTTAAACTGTAGAGCTCGAAGTGGAATTTCATCTTGGCCATGGAGTCCAAACCGACCATCAATAGGGCAAATGGGCTGCAGTCTGTAATGATCAAAACAGACATTGAAAAAAGAAGGAAGAACATTAATTTATGCTATTACAAGTGCATGTGAGATGATTCACACAACACTGTTAACATGGTAGGATATGGGCTTCTTGTGGTAAGAGGTGAATCAACAGCAAAATTGTCTCCTTGTACGTATGTGAGCACAGAAAACAGGACACCTTGCCACTCCATCATCAACTCCCCAAAACTTTGTACTAACCCACATTCATGCTCCCAGTAAAATAGACAACTACTTTGACATGATTCAATACTCATTATGTGTGTATTAAGCTAAATTATTCCCTGCTGAGAGGATTGTGCCAACTGGAATCAAGACACATTTTATCCAGCAACCCCTGTCTGCTGCTTACATGTGTGGAATATGGTGAATGACATCATGTGGATGTTGACCATACCTGATAGATTTTGTCAGTGTTCAAAAAGTTAGAGCTACATCATTGAAAGATAGTCAGCAGAACATGATTATTAATATTTATGTGTATGCCTGAAAAATGGGAGCATTTATATCTAATTTCAGGCACTCACAAAATTCACGTGGGATTTCAGCATTCTTACATAGATGTCAACATTTATTATACTTCAGCCATTCACTGGAACATAGTGCAGTGTGCGAAACATTAATATGAAGTATGTTTATTAACAACCAGGGAACATGTTCTAAGAAACTGGCCAGTCAGGGCTCCCTGGTACATATCTTCCACATGCCTATAAATGTGTACAACGCTGCATCTTCACTTCATACTTTATGGCGTTTACTATTGTAAACATGTTTGATATGGAAAATGTACATGGCAACTTCTTTGCTGTTTCTGCTTATTCTTATAGGTCTGTTTCATAATCAGGTGCTGTATCAATAATCATGACTAGGCCTGCTTAACAACTTAAAAATAAACTTTCTGGCAAATTCTGTAAATCCAAGCTCCTTCTGAACATTTGAAAACTTTCTCATATCCACTTATGAAATATTATTTAGCAATTTATTTCCATTTGCTGCCATTTCCATATTTTTCTTTTTCCTATTTAAGAAGCAGCTGAATTAAAAGGAAGCCATGTGTTGCATAATCATTAAAAAGGATGAAAATAATTTAGAAAATGCTGCACAAGCCTATATCCCAGGACAGATATGCTGCCATTTGTAATCAAAGAATCTGAAATCAAATGCACAATGAAATCATTAAAAGGTGTGATATATACAAAAGATTCATATTATGTGCATTAGCAAACAGTTTCCTCACTTTTAATGGATGCAACTGAAAAATATGCCCATTTAGATGTAAAGATCCTGCTACATGAGTGGCAAGTAATTCTGCTTGTGCATGGCGAGGGGAGTGCTATATTCGAAATCCTCTGAAAATTAGTTCTAGAGGATGGAAGAGCCTCTAGAGCAGTATTTTGATGGTTCAAGTAAATGTAGATGGAGGGGGTTAGTAATCAGTACCCTCCTTCATGTCTGAAAAAAACCCCAGTGTGGTGAGTCCTCCAAACTTGCCCCAAAATGGCTTCTTTGGGAAAATTACCTGAGGAAGGTGGTAGGAAGCCACCATTGGTGCTTATTAGGTATTACTTTTTGTACTTACGGGACTGGGAGAGAAATGAAGTCACCAAGTACCATCAGAATGGAATTCACTAGTGAATCAGACTGTGTTACAGCTTGTTGACAACAGCATCAAAGAGAAAAAGCCCTTTTCACCATTAGCAATATTAAATATAGATCCTATGAGAATTCTCTACTTTGGGAGTTCAAGGAGTCAAGTACTGTATCTGGATAATTTTATGACCATTAATAACATTTGTAGCTGTGCGAACGTAGATTGGTGATGAGGTTAATTAAACTTCATGCCTCAGGGCACAGGACAAATTCCTACAGGAGTTAAGAGGGAATTTGCACTGCATATTGCATAATTGGTCGTGGCTATTCTACACACATTTCAAGACTAAAGCTTTGCAGGCAGTTGGTGGCACAGTGTTAGCATAGGAGCATGATCTTCTCAACGCATGTAGGGCTTTTTTATTGCAATCAATAAGGAAATGCTACAAATAAAAGAGTATTAAATACAAAATAATGCAATATCTATCAGCCCCTTGGAATCCAGTGTAAAATTAATCAGCAGGTGGCTCTTCCCCTTGGAAGGCAAAGGGTAGATGCAGCAGAGCTTTACTATAGTTAAACTGGTTGGCCTTGGTGTGGATAATGAAAGCCACCCACAAGGACCCCAAGTCTACCCACAGAAGACATCTGTACATACTTGGGAGACACCACAGATATGTAGAACTAGCAGTAAAGCCCGTTGTGGAAATAAATACAACGGGATCTAGAAAGAGGCTCTGGGGGAGTACTCTGGCTTTGGGCAAACAGTGTCATTTTGCTGTGGTGACCTCAGTAGGGTATAATGGCAGAGTCCACTGTTTTCTCCAGAGGAACTGATCTCTGCTCCCTGAAGAGCAGTTGTAATTTTGAGTGATCTGTAGCCCTCACCTGGAAATTGGCAACAATTGTTACCCAGGATGAAATGGCTGGTTTGGAGGGTGGAGTCTATGGCATTCTACCTGTCTGATGTCCCACCCCTCCGCAAACCCCACCCTCTCCAGGCTCCACCCCTCAAATCCCCAGGAATTTGCCAGCCTGGAGTTGGCAACCCCATCTCCTTCGCAGCTAACCATCAACCTACCATTATCTGCCCCTTTGACTTCAGCTGACTTCCGCCCTCCCTTCTGCAGAGCAATTGTAATTTTGAGTGGTCTCCAGCCCTCACCTGGAGATTGGCAACAATGGTTCCCCATGAGGGACTGAGTGGTTTGGAGGGTGGAGTCTATGGCATTGTACCTGTCTGAGGTCCCACCCCTCCTCAAACCTCACCCTCTTCAGGCTCCATCCCTCAAATCTCCAGGAATTTCCCATCGGGAGTTGGCAACCCTATCAGGATTGGCCCCAATATGTTTTCTCCCAAAGGGCAAAGTAGGTGACTGGACCAAACTTAGTTGCCTACCAACAGGCACTGAGGGGAAAGTAGGGTTGCCAGCTATAAGGAGGGAAATACCTGGAGTTTTGGGGGGTGGATTCTGTAGAGGGCAGCAGGGGGGGGGGGGCGGAAGGACTCAGCAGGTATAATGTCATAGGGTCTACCCTCCAAAGCAGCCATTTTCTCCAGGGGAAACTGATCTCTGTCATCTGGAGATCAATTGTAGCAGTGGGAGATCTCCAGGTCCCACCTGGAGATTGGCAACCCTAGGGGAAAGTCAGCTGCACAGCAGGGGGTTGAAGAGAATGGTTTGATGGGTGCTGGGCCAAGATTGGCAACAATAGTTCCCCAGGAGCAAATAGCTGGGTTGGAGGGTGGAGTCTATGGCACTGTAACCTGTCTGAGGTCCCCATCTCCCCAGGCAGCTTTTAAAACATGATCCTGGGACCTACACACCACCAGACATTCCAACTGCCTTGGGGGGGAGTATGAGGTGTGGAATGGAGTGAAGTCCAATCAGCTTCCATATGCAAAAGACCTTGAAGGTTCCATATGCAACTGACATTCCAACTGCCTTGCGGGGAGGGGGGTGAGTTTGAGGTGTGGAATGCAGTGAAGTCCAATCAGCTTCCATATGCAAAAGACCTTGAAACGCTGGGCGGGACTGCACAAAGCAGCCAGTCAACCCAGCCAGCGTCTTCTGAGTGGCAGTTCTTCCGGCCTAACACTAAAGGCGGGCATTTTAGAATGTTCATATAGAATGTTCTTACTCAATTATATATAAGGAGAGATAATATTGCTTTATAATTACCTGAAAGAAAAAAGGGGGGGGGAAACAGCTTGATGAGAGCGGAACCTGTCTCAGAAAGGACTGGGTGTTGAAAGCAGCTGAGCGTTGGTTTAAAAAAATCAGGGTAGATCACATTATTCTAGCCCTTGAAAACATCAAAAACCCTGGGTGAGATTCTGAGGGGCAGGGGGGCACTTTCAAATCCTCTTCCTGTGATTCCCTGTAGCTGGCAATTCATCTGGATAACACAGTAGGTAAAGTCTCGTTTACAGAATACATTTTTGTCCTGCAAGCAGATCTGCTTATCCCCAGGTACAGGCATATTATTTTGAAAATGCGAATAAACCCACTTGCTGGTTAGCATATAGGCTTAGAAAAGAGAAAGAACAAAGGACAATTTCAGCATTGAAAAACAAAAACTTAGAGGTAAAATATAAAAATCAAGACTTAAAAGAAATTGCAGAAAATTTTTACACACAACTTTATAAACAAGCGGCACAAATAAGATGGATATTCAATTTACCGAGGAGCAGAAAAAATTATTAAACGAAACTATTACAACTTGTGAGATAGTAGAAGCACTTAAAAAACAAAAGAAAAAGAAATCACCAGGCCCAGATGGGATTCCAGTTGAAGTCTACCAAAAGTTGGAAGAAGAAGTAATACCTTTGTTTAAAGATTTGATGCATAATATCATGGAGATAGGGAAAATACCAAATTCATGGAATGAAGCACTGATAACGCTTATACATAAATACAATTCAGAAGATAGTGATATAAAAAACTATTTCCCTGTTGAATACAGATTATAAGATATTTGCGACAATTATAGCAACCAGGTTTAAGAAGATGATGGCGCAAGTTATACATCAAGACCAATCAGGCTTTCTTCCAAAAAGACAAATAAAGAAGAACATAAGAACCATCATCAACACTATAGAATACTATGAACAACACCAAGGCAAAAAGTTAGCTTTAGTGTTTCTAGATGCAGTAAAAGCCTTTCATAATGTAATTTGGGACTTTCTAAAGCAAAAATTGGAAATATGGGAATGTGGACAACAATTTATGAAGACGATAGAGACTATATACAAAGAACAATGGGCAAAAATAATATTGGAGAATTAACACAAAATATAGCCATAGAGAAAGGGACCTGACAAGGTTGTCCACTATCACCTTTACTCTTTATTTTTGGAATGGAGACTCTGAATGATGTAGTGAG